AGTGGGTGCTGGGGCATTCAGGCTTGGGGTCTTCCAGGTCAGTCCTAAAAGTTGATGATTTGATGCAGATTGCTGGTACTTACTTCAACTTTCCTTCTGGTTGGAAACCTTAATTAGTTGAGATTGCTGACACTGTTTATGCACATCAGTATTTTTTTAGAATGTGAAGCAGAAGAGGTACGCTTTGGAGGATTGGCTAAACCCAAAGAATTTAACTGGCCGTGTATTTTGGCCACTGTTGCAGCCTATTAAGATCTTGGAGTTTGGGTTTGCACCTGTATTTAGAAGGTGCACAAACCCACACAAATTCAAGGATAAATAACTGCAAGGCCCGAAGAGAACATGCTCTCCCGCTGCTCGTCTGTGATGAATGGAGTAACAGGTACCACAGGGCGACCAGGAAGCCTTCATCAATGGTGGTAATAGCCACCGATGCATCATCCGTGGAGGCGCCACGAGGGACGGCTGGGGCAGAATCAACAGGACGTGAAAATGAATTGTTTGTAACTACAATCAACAATTTTGTGTTCGTGAGAAAGCCATTCATCATTCAGAAACCACCTTTAGTAAAAGATGCACCTGGCTTCCCGGTGAGACGGGGCCATCAATCCCTCCCCAGTCACAGGGTCAGCTCGGGGCTGCCTAAAGCCCCAGAGAACACACATATTTATTCTTATTTGAAAATAAGAGTTGTTTAAAAAAAAAAAGAGCCGCTGAGAACACTAGCTTGCCGGGAGCATGGTAGGAGGAGCCATGTGGGGACAGAGCTCCTTAAAGTCCTCATCTTCTGGGTGCCCTGCCAGGCCCTGGTCGTGGGGCCTCTGTAATCAAGGAGCACCCAGCCTGCTCTGGGACCTTCCCAGGCTGTGTGTGTTCACGTCCCTCCCGGGTGCTGAGGGGCGGTGTGCGCTTGGGGAGGGAGGGAGATGCCTGTGGTTGGCCTGCTGGCTTCTGGGGAACTGCACTTTTCTGGCAAATAAAAGGAAAAAGATATGGGGAAGGGGAACACATGATTGTCCTCTGAATGTGGCAGAGTGGCCTGGTGTGGGCTTGATTCTGGTTGCCAGTTTCATCCTTAGGACAGCGCCTTGGTGAGGGTGGTCCGGGCACAGTGCGCTGGGTCTCTGCAGTGGGCACTTACCGGCACTGATCCCGGCAGCTGGATGCACCTGTGGCATGTTTTATACAACAGAAGCCACCCATGGCCTTCTGTGGTCCAGCCTGGTGCAGAGCCCACTGCCATAGAGCAGTGAAACTAGAACGTGTGTGAGGGTTGCTGGTGTTCCACATTGCAGTGGGAGGAAGAGGTGTGGAGGACTCAGACACGACTTTGGCCTTGGCAGCTCAGAGATGGCTGGTGTGACCAACAGATGGGGACGGTTTGGGAGGAGGAGGTTTCAGCAGGCAGAGCCTTGGGTTTGGGATGCTGGGCTGGAGCTTCTGTCACACAGCTCAGGGGAGACGACCTGAAGGCTGCCAAGTCTCAAGCTCAGGGGCCAGGCTGGAGGCCAAGGTCCACATTGTAGACGTCTTTGCTATACAGTTGCTGGGGACAGAGTGCCAGGATAGTTCACGATAGTGGGCCCAAGGAGGAGGGCAGCAGAAACAGGGCCAGGTGGCCCCCAGGAGCCCAGGGAGGAGCCAGTTCCAAGGGAAGCCGTGACCAACACATGCGCCATCCTGCACCATCGACAGCAAGACCAGGCTGCCAAGAGTGGAGGAGGCTGGTGGAGACCCTGTTGGAAGTGGTCTCAGGGAGCTTTGAGAGTGAGACCTTTTCTTTTTGAGACAGGCTGTGTCACTCTGTTGCCCAGGCTGGAGTACAGTGGTGTGATCACAGCTCACTGCAGTCTTGAACTCCTGGGCTCAAACAATCCTCCTTCCTCAGCCTCCCAAGCAGCTGGGATTACAAGTGTGTGCCACCATGCCTGGCTTATTTTTGTATTTTCTGTAGAGACAGGTCCTCCCCATGTTGCCCAGGTTGGTCTCAAATTCCTGGGCTCAAGTGATCCACCTGCCTCGTCGAAGTGTTGAGATTACAGGCATGAGCCACTGTGCCCAGCCAGAGAATGAGAGTGCTTTAATGGGGATCAAAGTGAGCCAGAGGAGCAAAGACAGACATAGGGAGTGGGCACACCTGAATTCTGAGGACAGGTGCAGTACTGTTTGCAGGGTCAGGGGAGGGCTGACAGGTGGCTGGCCTTTAACAGGGGGTGTGAAGAGTTCAACCACAGTAACAGGGGAGAAGATGGAGGGGAGCAGAGGTTTGGTGGGTGGTGGGCACAGGTGGGACAGACACTGTGTTGGGAGTGTGGGTGTGGGGTACCTCTGTGAATTGTCCCCAGGTGTCAGTGACACAGAAAGCAAGGCCTCTGCCCAGAGTGGCCAGGGAGGGGAAGCGGACAGGATGGGCTGAGGACAGGGGCCGGGGCCCAGCTGAGGTACATGGAGGCTCAGAAGACTGAAGGCTGGGCTGGACCAGGGCTTAAAGGGAAGGAGAGGGGCAACGGCCAACCCCATGGTGGCTCGGATGAGGATGTCTCGCTGAAGTATTGTGATGCACACAAGAAGAAAGTTCTTTTTTTTTAAATATTTTATTTTATTTTGAGACAGAGTCTTGCGGCTGGGCATGGTGGCTCATGCCTGTAATCCCAGCACTTTGGGAGGCTGAGGCGGCAGATCACGAGGTCAGGAGATCGAGACCATCCTGGCCAGCATGGTGAAACTGAGTCTCTACTAAAATACAAAAAATTAGCTGGGTGTGGTGGTGTGTACCTGTAGTCTCAGCTACTTGGGAGGCTGAGGCAGGGGAACAGCTTGAATCCAGAAGGCAGAGATTGCAGTAAGTCGAGATCGCGCCACTGCCCTCCAGCCTGGTGACAGAACGAGACTCAGAAAAAAAAAGAGAGGGAGACGGAGTCTTGTTCTGTCAGCCAGACTGGAGTGCAGTGTTGTGAGCTTGGCTCACAGCAACCTCCGCGTTCTGGGCTCAAGAGATTCTCCTGCTGCAGCCTCCCGAGTAGCTGGGATCACAGGCACCCGCCAGCACACCTGGCTAATTTTTGTATTTTTGTATTTTTTTTTTTTTTTTCTTGAGACGGAGTCTCGCTCTGTCGCCCAGGCTGGAATGCAGTGGCCGGACCTCAGCTCACTGCAAGCCCCGCCTCCCAGGTTTACGCCATTCTCCTGCCTCAGCCTCCCGAGTAGCTGGGACTACAGGCGCCCGCCACCTCGCCCGGCTAGTTTTTTGTATTTTTTAGTAGAGACGGGGTTTCACCGTGTTAGCCAGGATGGTCTCGATCTCCTCACCTCCTGATCCGCCCGTCTCGGCCTCCCAAAGTGCTGGGATTACAGGCTTGAGCCACCGCGCCCGGCCTAATTTTTGTATTTTTAGTAGAGACAGGGTTTCACCATGTTGCCCAGGATGGTCTCAAACTCCTGGCCTCTAGTGATCCGCCCGCCTCCGCCTCCCAACGTGCTGGGGTTACAGGCAAGAGCCACCACACCCGGCCAAGATAAAAGTTCTTAATTACAAGGACTGTTAATCATTTGTGACCTAATCTAGATTCAGTCTGGATGGAATCTCTGACCTTGTTGTCAGGCATTTTCGGATACAATTTATAGTTTTTGAGCCCTACCCAGACAGTCAACTGATGCCAAGGCTTTAACCCCAAATCTGAGACCACCTAGGCAGAGCTACCCTCGAAAATGTAGATCATCAGGAAATAAGGATCATCTATTTATCAAGCAAAAGAGGGGGCATTATTCAGTGGAAACAAAGCCTTCTCCCTGAAAACCTGTTTCTATTTTCCACGTGTGACTAATTTTTAATCTCGGTGACTGAGTGATAATGGTGTTGTCACTTATGCTGACGATGGGCTTTTTAAAAAGCATGTGATCTATGTTGCCTTCATGGTATCCTTTTTTGGCTATCGTTTCTGTGGCGTTCCTGAGTAAAATGAGTTCAGCGTCCGTGTGGCTCTAGCAACCCTGGCGCCATTGTAGAGGAGATGCCATCTGCATGCAAAGGTTCTGCAGTGCCTGCTCCACAGAAGGCTGCCTCGCCGGGCCATTACTCACCACAACAGGAAAACAGTTATCTGCCTACGTCCATTTGTTAAGAAGGCAGTAAAATGGCATCTTTAATAACCTCAAACAAATGCACTAAAACTTATCATAAAACAGCCAAGTTGTAAAGTGAAGGAGTGTCTGTAATAACCTCCTCTGTCTTCCCCAGGTGTACGTTTTCCAGGCAGTTCGCCTTCCCGTGACAGGGCTTTAGGGCCAGAAGACAGAGCCACTCATCCGACCACCCAAACTGGAAGCCCTGGGCACCATACTCAATTTGCTCATTTTCATTTCCACACCCTACTAATTATCAGACACTTCCCCTCAACCTCTGCAGGCCTGTGGTTTAGGCTCCTACTGTCTCTGGCCTGACCAAGTCCTGTTTCCTCCTGTCCTGCGAGCAGTGTGCCCACTGGTGCCATCATCTCTCTGCAATGTACAGGGGATCATGCGGGGGTGGTGCCCCCGGTGCCCGCACCATCGTGTCCACACGCACCGGCCCTTCCCCAGCCCCAGCACGCACACACATGCAGTGCGGCTGACGCTCTCAGCACCCTGCCTTTCCCATGCACCCCCACGTCCCCCCGCCCCCCGCACCTGCAACTTCCTGCCTGAGGGCTTTTCTCAGTGCCTAGGGTTGCTGGCCTGTGCCTGGGGTCTGCTGGAAGTGCAGTTGGCAGAGGTGGGGGCGGCGAGGATGGCCCCTGGAAACCAGAGCAAACCCACTCGGAACTGTGTCCTGTGCTCTCCCAGAGGCCTCCAGGAGGACTAGTCCAGGGGCCCTGGCTCTCACCTGCTCCCCAACATGTGTACTTCCCTACTCCCTTACCTGTGCTTCCTGACTCCACCTACCGGATAAAATACCTGCAGGAAGGGCCTGCTTTGGAGGGAGCCGTACTCCACGCTGGCCACCCGTGGCCACTCGCCGTGCCCTTGTCCACACAGCTCCCTCTCGGCCTGGTGGTCTTTGTCCATTCTGCTACTGTGGCCATATAGGATCAGTTTTCCAGACTCAGCCTCTGGGATCTCACATCAACCCAGACCCACGGACCCCAACGTGGCGCGTCCTGCACCCCACGGGTGTGGCCTGGCGGCCCTCCTCCCAAGCACTATGTTCAGGCTGAGTGGAGACTCTCGCTAGCAATGTGCAGGCTGCTAAGCAGATGCGACCCAGTGACAGCTTGCACCTCAGGCCTTGCTCCTTGAGCTCCTTGCTCCGTGCGCTTTTCTCAAAACACGATCCTCTTTATCTTCAGAATCGCAAAAGCGCTGCAGGGACTGGCGAGGCTCCACCACCTCGCAGAAGCCAACAGCACGGGCGGCCCGGGAACGCCCTCCCACCCACCTCCTGGGTGACCGTCAGCACCGCGGCCCGCAGAGCGCGCGAGCCCAGGGGCCCAACTGAGCCCCGCCACCAGATGGGATCCTGCTCTGCCTCGCGTGGCCACCGCGTGGGCCTCTCCCGCGCCCGCGCAGCCCGCCCCCTTCCCGGCGGCGGCCGCGGCGTCCAGGCCCGGCACGTGGCGTCGGCTGCGCATGCGCGGGCTCGGGGCCTTGCCGGCGTCTCCGCGCAGACCAGGGAAGCAGGGTCCGGCGGGGCGGTGGCTGAGTGGCTCCGCATGGGCCCCGGAAGCGCTGCGGGGAGGTGGGACTCGGCCTGACCGGGGGAAGCAGGGTCCGGTGGGGCGGTGGCGGAGTGGCTCCGCATGGGCCCCGGAAGCGCTGCGGGGTAGGTGGGACTCGGCCTGAGGGCGCCGGGCCGCCGGGAGGGAGGGGTCAGGAGGTGCCCTCAGTGGCTCTCTTCCTGTGGGTGACCCAGGTCGCGCTCTTGGTGACGACCCCCCACATCCCTCCCGCTCCGCGACTCCTCCGTGTACCTCCCCCTCCGCGCACTACGCCACCAGCGTGTCCCCTCCTCCTCCACGCACCCCTCCTCCGTGTCCCTCCTCCGTGTCCGCCCTCCGTGTGCTTCACCCCTCAGTGTTTCCTCCACCTCCGTGGGCCCTCCTTTGGTGTCCCCCTCCAGGCCCCCTTGTCCTCTTCCCCCTTCGTTACCCCTCCCCCACAGCCCCTCCCCCTCGGCGTCCTCTTCCCTCGCTGCCCCACCCGCCCCCATCGCTCCCTTGGCTCCTGACTTTCCGCTTGGGCCCTGCACCTGACCGGAGGTGCTGCTCTGGCTGCCTAGGAAGAGGGTCTGGAAACAGCCGTCGCTGATGGGATCCCGCTCTGTCTTCTGCCCCAGAGTGACGACTTTGGATACACTTTGCCCCAGGGCCTTTCCTCATGGAGCTGGCCTTTTCCCTGTCCTTCTCTTCTGGCGCGGTGAACTGCCTCCCTTCTCCTGGATCACTTTGCTGGCAGCCACCTTGTAACACCTCAGATTTGCAGCAGTTTTTCTTTTTCTTTTGGTCTGACACATTTAAAGCCATAGGTTCCCAACTAAAACCCACGAACTGGCTATTTTCAGGGGAGTCTCTATGCAGCGTTCAAAATAGTCTACTTAAGGGCCAGTGCGGTGGCTCACACCTGTAATCCCAGCACTTTGGGAGGCTGAGGCAGGAGGATCGTTTGAGCTCCGAGTTTGAGACCAGCCTGGGCAACATAGTGAGACCCTGTCTCAAAAAAAAAAAAAAAAAAAAAAAAAAAAAAAAACAACCACCACCTTTACTTAATAGTGATTTAAAAAACGTCAACAGGATGGCATATTACACCCAGGAAGATGCTGGGGACCAGCTAATGTAAACTTTCTAGAGAGCCTGGTTGCATAGTAACGGGGTCAGGAATAAGCACCATCCATTGGTGGTTGGAGCCAACAGAGGCTCGTGGCCGGTCACCTCTCCTGCCCTCTCAGCTGCTGCTGTGTTTTCGGTGTCACTCCAGCCACAGGTGCAGCAGTGTCCTGGGTCCAGGCTCACCTCTGTGGAACCATCCTGCTGCTCACCCCAGGGCCCGGGGGACATGTGTGCTTTCTCGCAGGTGAGGACACTCAGGTGCAGTTAGAGATGCGATGGGAAATGGTCAGGGGCCCAATTTGAAGCAGTTGCCAATAAAGTTGTTCTCAGGAAGTAGCAATACTTTTGGAAAGCAGTGGCCTTTGCATGTTTGTGACGTTGGATTTTGTTGCTGGGGGTGCTTCACCTGCTTGCCCGGCTTTTGTAACATGGGGGTCGATCCTCATCACTACACCAGTAGAGAATGGGGTGGGAGGAGCTCTCAGCTGTAGGTGGTGTCTGAACCACAGCCCAGGACAGAACGGGGGAGGAATGGGAGGGGCGTGATGTCATTGTTTTTCTGTGAAGTTTATGTTTCTTCCTGTCAAAAACATCATTTTGGCATTGGTGCTGCCGTTTCTTCTTTGGAGTTACAGGAGCATACTTCTTTGATTAAAGGAAGAGAGTGTACTGGGCAGATAAAGCTGGAAAACGCAAAGAAGCTCAAAGTAAAGAAGCCAAAGCAGAAAAATCAGGGAAGATGGGGTGAAGACCAGGTTCGAACCTTTTATTTACTGCTAATGTTTCATTTGTGTTTGTTTATATTATTAATTGTTTTAGAGATAGAGTCTTGCTGTGTCTCCCAGGTGGGAGTGCAGTGGTGATCATAGTTTACTATAACCTCAAACCCTTAGGCTCAAGTGATCCTCCGCCTTAGCTTCTCCAGTAGCTGAGACCACAGGCAGGTGCTACCATGCCCAGCTAATTTTTTTTTTTTTTTTTTTTGAGACGGAGTTTCGCTCCTGTCACCCAGGCTGGAGTGCAATGGTGCAATCTTGGCTAACTGCATCCTCTGCCTCCCGGTTTCTAGTGATTCTCCTGCCTCAGCCTCCTGAGTAGACAGGACTACAGTCGTGCGCCACCACACCTGACTAATTTTGTATTTTTAGTAGATATGAGATTTCACCACGTTGGCCAGGCTGGTCTAGAACTCCTGACCTCAGGTGATCTACCCGCCTCAGCCTGCTGAAGTGCTGGGATTACAGGCGTGAACCACTGTGCTTGGCTTTATGTTTTTATTTTTATTTTTGTAGAAACAAGGCCTCACTATATTGCTCTGGCTGATCTTGAACTCCTTGCCCCAAGCAGTCCCTGCCTCAGCCTCCCAAAGTGCTGGGATTACAGGTATGAATCACCACACCTGGCCTTACTGTTTCATTTTTAAACTCATAATCTTCAATATGTTCAAGTGTATTCTTAATTTTTGTTTTTACTCATGAACTTTTTTTTTTTTTGAGACAAGGTTTCACTTTATTGCCCAGGCTGGAGTGCAGTGGTGATCATAGCTCACTGCAGCCTCAACCTCTTGGGCCCAAGTGATCCTCCCACCTCAGCGTCCTGAGTAGTTGGACTACTGGTGTGTACCATCACGCTGGCTAATTCTTTTTTTTTAATTTTTGTAGGATGGGATCTCCCTATCTCCCTATGTTGCCCACACTAGTCTAGAACTCCTAGGCTCAAGAGATCCTCCTGCCTTATCCTCCTCAAGTGCTGGGATTACAAGTGTAAGCCACCATACTCAGCCTCATGAAGTTTGTTTTTTTGAGATGGAGTCTTGCTCTGTTGCCCAGGCTGGAGTGCAGTGGCATGATCTTAGCTCACTGCAAGCTCTGCCTCCCCGGTTCACACCATTCTCCTGCCTCAGTCTCCTGAGTAGCTGGGACTATAGGCGCCCGCCACCACGCCCAGCTAATTTTTTCTATTTTTATAGTAGAGACGGGGTTTCACCATGTTAGCCAGGATGGTCTCGATCTCCTGACCTCGTGATCCACCCTCCTCGGCCTCCTAAAGTGCTGGTATTACAGGCATGAGCCACCGCGCCCGGCCCTTTTTTTTTTTTTTTTTTAGGACAGAGTCTTGCTCTGTTGCCCAGGCTGGAGTTCAGTGGCACAATCTCAACTCACCACAACTTCTGCTTTCTGGGTTCAATCTATTCTCCTGCCTCAGCCTCCCGAGTATCTGGGACTACAGGTGCATGCCACCATGACTGGCTAGTTTTAGTATTTTTAGTAGAGATGGGGTTTCACTGTGTTGGCCAGGCTGGTCTCGAACTCCTGACCTTGTGATCCACCCGCCTCGGCCTCCCATAGTGCAGGATGCCGTGGTGGGGCTCATCCTAGTGTTTTCACAGAAGTTCTGTTTATTATGACATGGAAATTTCCTCAGTGTAACCCTCTTCTCTTGTGACTTATAGCAGTGCTTGAGAGAAGAAAATAAATTCTCCATTTCAAAAGAAAATCCAGGGCGGAACGATCCTATTGTTAGGTGAGATTTGTTCTCTTTACCCCTTTTCTTTGTAGAGTGAGGTGAAATGGGGGAGCGAGGGGATGGGGGGAGCGAGGGCACGGGGTGAGATCAGCTTTCGTCCTGGGAGCCTGGCCTTTGCAGTGGAATTGGGACCTGCTTCCTGTTCTTTTTCCAGTCTTTGTTTCCGCTTGAGTGGAGTTAGGAATCCACAGGACTGCGGAGCCGGTTGGTAATGCGAGCCGCCTCTGACAGGTGCAGAAATCTGGCTCTTGCACATTCGTGTCGGGGCCCAGGTGTAACAAGGGGGTCTGGCATCTCCCTCATGTGCCAGGGGCCCTTCCTGTTTGTTTGTTTTTGTTTTAGATAAATGATCTTGTCAGATTGTTACTGTGGTAACAATCAGTGTGACCACATCTTTTTCAAAGATTAGAACCAAAAAAAGGTTGAAAAGCATTAGGCCTGCAGTCCTCACTCACCTTTCTCTCCCTCTGCTCTCTTCTCTGCTGCTTTCTTGTGTCCGATAATCATGTAAATAGCTTTCTGTGTCCAACAGAACAAAGAAAAAAGCCTGATGGAAAAATGGTTAGGTTTTGCTTTTGAGAAATGTGGTATATCCATGGCTTGATGGCAGGCTGTGTGCATCCATTCACAGCGAGTAGAATCTAAGGTAGGATGAGTCAGTTTGAGCTAATTATGTCGTTTTAAATAAGGTTTCTATAGATGAACTAAGCACCTGGCCTTGGAACGCGGAAGCCGTTTAATGTGGTGTTTGCTCTGCGTCGTGTCAGATTGTGTTTGCTGATTTCCGGTACCTGCCCTCTGCTGAGGAGCTGGACCGTCCCCGGTTGCCATCCCGGCCGTGAGCTGGGAATGTAATCATGACTAGGCAGGCGGTGTCCAGGCCACGTCTCCCAGGTTGCTGAATCTGTTCAAATGAAGGCAGAAATGGAGACTTTGATGGTGAAATATGCCAAGTGTTCAGTGTTGCTGCAACTTCACAAAATTGCGTGGCTGTTTCCTGTGCATCACTTTCCTTTTTTTCTTTTCCCTTTCTTTTTTTTTTGTCTTTTTCATTTTTTGTCACTTTTTTTTTTTTCTGTCCGTAAGTGTGGTCTGACCACACAGCAGCCCTGGACTCGCTCTGGACCTGTTCTGGTTCTGGGAACTTTGCCCAATTCTCAGATGATTCGTTGCTCAGATAAACTTCATTAAATTTAATTTGTCTAAAGTTTTTATTTTAACGTTCCCATTCTCCGTTCCCCCAGCCCCTGGCAACCACTAATCTACTTTCTATTTCCATGGATTTGCTTATTCTGGCTGTTTCCTGTAAACAGAATCCTACAGTATTTTTCCTTTTGTGCCTGGCTTCTTTTATGTCAAGTGTTTCCAAGATCCATCCACACTGTACTGTGTGAACACTTCATTCCCCTTCACAGCTGGGAACACCGTGCCGTGTGTATATCTGGGGGTCGTTGATCCGTTTGTCTGTTGATGTACATTTGGGTTGTTCCTACCGTTGGGCGATTGTGAATGATGCTGCTACAAGTATTTCTTTATAAGTATTTGTCTGAATACCTCTTTGCATTGCTTTCGGGTACATAACTAGAAGGGGAATTTCTGGCTCCTGTGGTCATTTCTTGTTGAATTGATTGAAGAACCAACAGACTTTTTTTTTTGAGATGGAGTCTCTCTCTGTCGCCCAGGCTGGAGTGCAGTGGTGCGATCTCAGCTCACTGCAACCTCTGCCTTCTGGGTTCAAGCGATCCTCCTGCCTCAGCCTCCCAAGTAACTGGGATTACAGGCACCTGCCACCACGCCTGGCTAATTTTTGTATTTTTAGTAGAGACAGGGTTTCATCATGTTGGCCAGGCTGGTCTCAAACTCCTGACCTCAAGTGATCCCAAAGTGTTGGGACAGGCATGAGCCACCGTGCCCGGCCCCAACAACCTTTCTTAAAGCAGCATTACCATTTTACATTCCCAGCAGCACGGTACAAAGAGTCCAGTTTCTACACATTCTTGCCAACACTTATTTTGTGTCTTTTTCATTATGGCCATTCTGGTGGATGTAAAGTGGTAACTCACTGTAACTCACTGTGGATTTGATTTACATTTCCCTAGTGATTAGTGATACTAAGCATCTTTTCATGTGTTTATTGGCCATTTGTATCTCATCTTTGGAGAAATGTTTGTTTACACTCTTTACCTTTTTTTTTTTTTTTTTTTTTAATTTTTAAGAGACTGGGTCTCGCTTTGTTGCCCAGGCTGAAGTGCAGTGACACCATCATAGCTTGCTGCAGCCTCGAACTCCTGGGCTCAAGCCACCCTCCCACTTCAGCCTCCTGAGTAGCTGGGAATACAGGTGTACGTCATCACGCCTAGCTAATTTTTAAATTTTTTGTAGAGATGGGGTCTCCCCATCTTGCCTAGGCTCATCTCAAACTTGTGGGTTCAAGTGATCCTCCCACTTTGGCTTCTCGAAGTGCTGAGATTACATGTGCAAGCCACCACACTTGGCCCTTTACCTGGTTTTGGTTGGATTATTTATTTTTTATTGTTGAGTTGTAGAAGATTTTTTGCATATTCCAGGCACCAGACCCTTATCTGTGGATTGTCTTTTTGCTTTCTTGATGGTGTCAAAACACAAAAGTTTTCGGTTGATCTCTTTTACCTGAGTTCAATGTGTGTGTTTTATCTTGGGTTGTTTGTGCTTTGTGTATGGGTGTTTTTAAAAACCATTATCTGCCTATGATCCTAGCACTTTGGGAGGCTGAGGCAGGAGGATCACTTGAGGCCGAGAGATTGAGAGCAGGCTGGGCATTGACGTGAAACTGTGACTCGATGAAAAATTTAAAAATCAGCTGGGCACTGTGGTGAATACATGTAGTCCCAGCTGTGGTAAGCTGAGGTGGAAGGATTGCTGGAGCCCAGGAGTTCAAGGATGCAGTGAACTGTGATTGTGCCACTTTACTGCAGCCTGTGTGACAGAGTGAGACCCAGCCTAAACCAACCAACCAACCCAAAAACTGTGATCTAATTCAGGGTCATAAAGATTTGTACCTATGTTTTTTTCTAAGAGTTTTATAACTTTGGCTCTTACATTTAGGTTTTTGATCCACTTTGAGTTAACGTTTGCATTTGATGTGAGGAAGAGGTCTAACTTCATTCTATGCATGTGGATAGTCAGCACCCTTTGTTGAAAAGACTGTTCTTTCCCTGTTGAGTGGTCTGACATCCTTGTTGAAATCAGGTGCCCACAGGTGTGCGGGTTTATTTCCAGACTCTGAGTGGACCCACCGGTCTCTGTGTGCGTCCTTCTGACAGTGCCCCTCTGTCTTCATCTCTGTAGCCCTGAAGTTTTAAAATCAGGAAGTATGATTCCTGTAACTTTGTTCTTTGTATTTCCCTGTGAATTTTAGGATCAGGTTGTCAATTTCTGCAAAAGCACCAGCTAGAATTTTGATGGGGATTGCATTGAGTTTTTCTATCTGTTTGGAGAGTGTTGCTGTCTTTATTTATTTATTTATTTAGAGATGGAGTTTCACTCTTGTTGCCCAGGCTGGAGTGCAGTGGCATAATCTCGGCTCACAACCTCCACCTCCTGGGTTCAAGCGATTCTCTTGCCTCAGCCTCCTGAGTAGCTGGGATTACAGCATGTGCCCCCATACTCAGCTAATTTTGTATTTTTAGTAGAGAGGGTGTTTCTCCATGTTGGTCAGGCTGGTCTTGAACTCCCCACCTCAGGTGATCCACCTGCCTTGGCCTCCTGAAGTGCTGGGATTGCAGGCATGAGCCACTACACCTGGCCGAGTATTGCTGTCTTAACCATATGAAGTCATCCAGTCCATGAATACAGGATAGCTGTTCACTTATTTAGGGTGTCTTTCGTTTCTTCTGGCAATGTTTCACAGTTTTCAGAGTATAAGCTTTATATCTCTTTTGTTAAATTTATTGCTCAGTATTTTTTTTTTGATGCTATTGTAAATGGAATTATTTTCCATTTCTTTTCTTTTCTTTCTCTTTTTTTTTAGACAGGGTCTCACTCTCACTCTGTCCCGCAGATTGGAGTGCAGTGGCATGATCTCGGCTCACCACAAGCTCTGCTTTCCAGGCTCAAGTGATTCTCCCGCCTTTGTCTCAGCCTCCCGAGTAGCTGGGATTACAGGCATGCGCCACCACTGTCTGGCTAATCTTTGTATTTTTAGTAGAGACGGGGTTTTGCCATGTTGGCTGGGCTGGTCTCGAACTCCTGACCTCAGAGAATCCACCCACCTTGGCCTCCCAAAGTGTTGGGATTACGGGCCTGAGCCACCGTGCTCGGCCGAGAAAAAGTTTTTATGATGCTTGTTAGAGATGGTAAGGCAGATTTCCAGGAGAGGCCGCTGTCATGGGGTTTTGCAGTAGGGGAGAGAGATTGAGCTCAACTCCAAATACAACAAAGACATGTGGGGATGTTTAGCCAAGAAGCAGAGTTGGAAAGTTACCATCAGGAGACATCGGGGTAGGGGTTCTTTGGCAGGCCAGGGTGATGAGCTGTAGAGGCTGAGGGAGGAGGAATTTGACCCGATGTTGAAGATCAGATACCAAGGGTGGGGGTTTTCACAGAAGCGACCAGCAGGAGTCTTGCTGAAACTGGACTAAGTAGGTCAGGGACTAAGCCAAGGTCAGGGCCTGGTTGAAGAGGAGGACCCAGGAGCCAGACTCAAGTGTGGTCGAGGACAGTCTCTGTCAGTGGGGAGTGCTTATAATTCTACTGCATATACTTGAAATTTTCCAAAATAGTAAGTTTTTTAAAAATTTAAATTGAAGTAGAATACATTAAAAATAAAAAGAGAACCAAAAAGTCTATTCAAATGCATTGGACTTTGTTTCAATTCTGATTTACAGAAAGATTTTTTAAATGATGAGACAGGGAATTTGAGCACTCCGTGGATATCTGATAATAAGGAATTTGTTTTTTAAAGTGTAATAGTGGACCGGGCGCAGTGGCTCACACCTGTAATTCCATCACTTTGGGAGGCCTAGGCGGATGGATCACTTGAGGTCAGGAGTTTGAGACCAGCGTGGCCAACATGGCGAAAACCCATCTCTGCTAAGAATACAAAAATTAGCCGGGCACAGTGGTGGGCGCCTATAATCCCAGCTACTCAGGAGTCTGAGGCAGGAGAATCGCTTGAACCCAGGAGACGGAGGTTGCAGTGAGCTGAGATCGTGCCACTGACCTCCAACCTGTGTGACAGAACGAGACTCCGTCTTAAAATAATAAAGGAAAAGAAAGAAAGAGCGATGGTCTATAGTAGTTGTTCTTTTAATGGTTTTTGTGGAGAGCATAATGAATTTGCCTGTCATCCTCGCACAGGGGCCACGCGAAACTTCTCAGTATTGTACCACTTTTAGCGTATGTGCTGCCGAGGCGGGCACGTGGTTGTGGTCTTTCAAAGAAGAGTTCGCATCTTTGGACATAACTGGAAATGTTTGTGGGTGAAGCGATGTGCTGTCTTGGAGTTGCTTCAGAATAACCCACTGGGGAGAGAAGAGGGTGGGCACTCAATGGAAAGAGATGGGATGTGAGCTGGTAAGTTTTGAGTTGGTGTAATGGGGTTGTGGGAGTTTTTTAATACTTGTCAAACTCAAACGAAAATACACAGATGAGGCCCAGCGCAGTGGCTCATGCCTGTAATCCCAGCACTTTGGGAGGCCAAGGTGGGCAGATCACTTGAGGTCAGGAGTTTGAGACCAGCCTGGCCAACATGGCGAAACCCTGTCTCTACTAAAAATACAAAAATTAGCTGGGTGTGATGGTGGGTGCCTGTAATCCCAGCTACTTGGGAGGCTGAGGCAGGAGAATTACTTGAACCCACGAGACAGGTTGCAGTGAGCTGAGATCGCGCCACTGCACTCCAACCTGGGTGACAGAGCAAGACTCCATCTCAAAAAAAAAAAAAAAAAAAAAAAAGGTGTACAGAGTGGTCTTTGGTCAAGAACAAAAAGCATGCTGGGGGTTTATTGGAAAGAGAAATGTTACCTGTTGTTTTGAAAGAAAACACATTGGCACTGGTGAAGTTTCGGGGAGCTGGCAAGCTCAGATTGGTGAAAGACACGGTAGGTAAACCTAGTCTTTGGGTCAGGTAGGTTGTTCCAGCAGCCATTAGGCACACCTGGTTGTAAGGTTGCAGCAGGTCATTTCAGCAGCTAGACTTGCGGTGGGTGGGGGGGGGGGGGGGGGGGGGGGGGGGGGGGGGGCTCTGGGAGCAGGTGCCGTGTGCCTGAGAGCTTTTCCTGGGTCCCTCGAGTCTGATTTGGTTGGGTGTGGTAGGAAAAGTTCAATTCGTATAATGGGTTTTCATAGGCCGTTCTCTCTCTGTTTGTGTGTGCTTGAGATTTTCCCTAATGAAACATTAAACAGAAGAGGCTCCTGGCTCACCTATTGGCCTCTGGTGGGTAGTTTTGTGGTGAGGAGCTGAGAACCTGCCTCCTGAGGAAAGGCTCCTCAGGTGATTTGGCTGCTGCCCCGGAGATCGCGGTTCTGCCCTCTAAGCCAGCCACAGGCGTTCTGTGCAGGTGTTAAGCAACGCCTGGTCATAGCTCACAGTTCTGTAGGCCAGATGCTCTTGTGGGTTTGGCAGGATTCTCAGCTTAGGGTGGGTTGGGGTGCGCTGGCCGGGCTGGGCTCCTGCCTCGAGGCACCAGGCTCCTGGGGGTTGGATCAGTCCCTGCAGTGGTGGGACCAAGGGCCATTTTCTTGCTGGCTGTCAGCTAGGGTCCCTTCTCCACGCCCCTCCATTTGGCCCTTCATCCTCATGGCCAGCAGCGGCACCCAAATCCCGTCTCTGACTCTCCCTCTGTCCCCACCTGGGGGAAACTGCTTTTCAGCGGCACATGGGGTTAGATCAGACCCCCATGGAGGGCCCCCAACCGCACCCCCCAGCTGTCAGTGAGTACAGGAGTGACAGGCTGAAATGTGCCGGTCTTCTTAGGTCCCTCCTGCCACACCCCTGCAGGGCACCCCTTACATGGCAGGGTTAACAGGCTACATAGTTGGGGAGGTCGGCGGGGGGTGTCTGTCAGGTGAGTGTGGGACAGAAGGGCCACAGGGTCATGTGGAGTCCTGAGCCGAAGCTGCGGCTCAGGGCATGAGGTCCTGGGCGCTCTCAAAGCCGTGACTGGGTTTTCTGTCAATTCTCTTGTTGCCCCGAGTGGTCTCGTGGCCTTACCACCCCTCATGCTATCCTCTGTGTGGACATTTTCTTGTGATTTTCTCACGTCTGCTGCTCACTATTTGTGACAAGGACTGAGGGGCTTTGGAGCAAGGGGCTGGTGGGAGTGTCTCTGGATGGGGTGGGCCTGGGTTTACCAGTGGGCTTTGTGGTGACTGGGGCCTCTGCAGGGTGGTAGGGCTTTGGGGGGCAGGACTTTCCAACTCCAGGAACTCCACTCTTAGCACAGACGGAGGCCCTGGGTGGAGGTCCCCTCTGGCTTGCAAGGCTGGTGTGGGATGCAGAGGCCCTGGCCAGGCTCCACGTCTCCTGGGCACCTTCCATAGCAGCCACCCCTCCTCATCCTCCTCACCCTCCTCAGCGTGGGGGGACCCCTGGCTGCCGTAGCTGCATCACGGAGGAGCCTGCTGAGCTCCAGGCACCCGTCCTCATCTCGGTGCCTGAGCTTCGAGGCCTGGCCTGCTGCGGGGCTGGAAGCGGTGGTCCTGCACAGCCCACCTTGGACTGAGGATGCCTCTGCCCTCTCTCCCATTGTGCTTTATAAACTTCCTGGATTGTTTCAATTCTTCCCTGCTGGCTGGCTGGCTGGCTGCCTGCAGTGGTTTCAATGTTCCTCCTAAAACTCATGTTGCAATTTAGTTGCCATTTGTAGTACTTAATATTAAATAGTAACTACTTTTAAGAGTTGAGGCCTGGCCAGGCAGGCCTGTAATTCTAGCACTTTGAGAGGCCAAGGCGGGTGGATCACTTGAGGTCAGGAGTTTGAGACCAGCCTGGCCAACATACAGTGAAACCGCGTCTCTACTAAACAGTACAAAAATTAGCCGTGTACAGTGGCTCATGCCTGTAATCCCAGCACTTTGGGAGGCCAAGGCGGGCAGATCATGAGGTCAGGAGATTGAGACCATCCTGGCTAACATGGTGAAACCCCGTCTCTACTAAAAATACAAAAAAATTAGTTTGTTTTGGGCGTGGTGGCAGCGCCTGTAGTCCCAGCTGCTTGGGAGGCTGAGGCAGGAGAATGGCGTGAACCCGGGAGGGGGAGCTTGCAGTGAACTGAGATCGCATCACTGCACTCCAGCATGGGTGACAGGGTGAGACTCCGTCTCAAAAACAAAACAAAACAAAACAAAAATTAGCGGATGTGGTGGAGCATGCCTGTAATCCCAGCTGCTTGGGAGGCTGAGGCAGGAGAATCGCTTGAACCTGGGAGGCGGAGGTTGCAGTGAGCCGAGATTGCACCACTGCACTCTAGCCTGGGCAACAGAGCAAGACTCCATCTCTTAAAAAAAAAAAAAAGGAAGTGAGGCTTTTGAAAGGTGATTTGGCTCTACCCTCATGAATGGACAATGTTGTCATCTTGAGAGTAGATTTCTTGCCATGGGAGTTGGTTCCTGATCAAAATGGTGAGTTTGCTCAGTGTCCTCCCTCTGCTGTGTGTGCTAGTTCATCTTCTGCCGCTGGGGTAATGCAGCAAGAAGGTCCTTGCCAGATGCAGCTTCTTGATCTTGGCCTTCCCAGCCTCTGGTGAACCAGATAAATCTGTGTTCTTTATAAATTTCCCAGTCTGTGCTATTTGTTACAGCAGCAGAAAATGGGCTAAAATACGTCCCCCTTCCTTCTCTTTTTCTCTTTTTTAGAGATGTCTTGCCATGTTGCCCGGGCTGGCTTCCAGTTCCTGGGCTCTAGTGATCCTCCCACTTCAGCCTCCCGAGTAGCTGGGACTACAAGCATGCTGCCACACCCAGCACAGCCCCCTTTCTTTTTCTCTGGTGCTGCTTTGTTTGTTTAAAATAAATCTTTTTAAAAAAATCATTTTGTGGGATCTTGACAAGGGAAAGCAAATTTGAGGGGCAATAGCTGGTCCAAGAACCAAGTTTCTGGGTGTCTCAATATCCCATTAGCTGGGTGGTAAAGGTGCTCCATGAAGATAACGCCTCTGGGTTTTCTGTTCCTGCATTGCCTGTGAGGAATTTGGAGCAGCCTCATACTTAGGAACCTGGCATTTCCTCCTCACTCCTGCGCTTCAGGAGGCCTGGCATTGCCTTCGGAGCTGTTCTGGAGGTGAAACAAAGCCTTGGCTGAGAGCCAGAAGAGCTGCCTATTCTCCTGGGCTCTAGAGTAATAATGCAGGAACACTTTGTGAGAAGTGAACTTTACAGACACGCTATCTCCACGTGATAAATTGTACTCATTGACAGTGACCATTGGATGAGTTTTGGCAGAATTGTCCCTCTGCAAAGCCACTGCCACCCTCAGAAGACAGATGTGTCCACACCCACTTGACCATCACCCCTGCCCCCAGCATCTCCCTGCTTATGACTTTCTGCAGATGTTTCCTGCTGACATGCTGACTGGGCAGAATCAGAACCCCCAGAGTCTACCTCATTACCAATGGGTTGTTAGATAACGGTTTGTTTGAAAAGCGATGCAATAATAAATGCTTTGTGGGACTTCAATTTAGAAAAAGTGTTGATGATTTGGATTTTGCCATTTTACTGATGACTGACTTTATCAGTGTAGTTTAAGTGTGAATTACTTTCTCTCTTCCCTGTGTTCTGCTACTATGTAATGTATTCTTACATATTGTATGAAAGCCCTGAGTTGGTGCTAAACTTTGCTACTAAATTAATGCAAGCCTTATCTGTATTTTAATTTAAAACAGTGAAAAACTCTGCTGAAGTGCCAGCCAGAGGTGTGGGAGTATAGCCTGAGAGGCCCTGTTCCACGTGGGGTGTGAGTGACACCTCCCAGACGCGCATGGCAGCAGGAGCTGGAGGGGCCAGCCTGCTTCTCTGTCTGTGACAGAGTTTACAACTGTGTCCTCCAGAGACCAGCAGACGCCTCAGGCTGGCATTGCTGGGCTCCTGTGCCCAGTGCTGGTTCAGACCTTTCAGCCACTCAGGGATGCCCTGTGGACCTGCCTCCAGCAGGGCTCTGCCAGGTCCGGCATGGGGGTGACCCTGGCTGCCAGCGGGCTTGTGGGCTCTGCCTCTCAGCATGTGGCTCTGCCCAGCAAGGGTAAGCTCCCTGGGAAGGACTGGCTGGTGCCTGCAGTGTGGTGCGTGTCTGTGTTTGGGAATCGGGACCTGTCTATGGGGAGTCTCCCACGGGTACCTTTCTTTTTTTTTTCGAGACAGAGTCTCACTCTGTCGCCCAGGCTGGAGTGCGACCTGTCTATGGGGAGTCTCCACGGGTACTTTCTTCTTTTTTTTTCTCGAGACAGGTCCCACTCTGTCGCCCAGGCTGGAGTGCAGTGGTGCGATCTGGACTCACTGCAACCTCTGCCTGGCCATGCCATTCTCCCACCTCCGCCTCCTGAGTAGCGGAACTACAGGCACCACCACTGCTCGGCTAGTGTTTTGTATTTTTAGTAGAGAGACAGGGTTTCACCACGTTAGCCAGATGGTATCTCGATCTCCCCAACCTGCAATCTGCCCGCCTCGGCTCCCAAAGTGCTGGGATTACAGGCGTGAGCCACCGTGTTCGCCATAACGTGGTACCCCTTTTTAGAAGCCCATGTGCTGTCCCAGTTGGAGCCAGAATTGTGTCATTGAGTTGGGATGAGGAGAATGAGTTACCTTTAACATGGCCCCTGGGTCTCTTATTACTTAAAGCTTTAAATATTTCCTTCTTTTCCGATTTTCCACCCCCAGACTGAGCCTGTGCTGATGACTGTGGCTGTGTGATGAAATCATGCCTGCACCACAGCAGCTCAGGTGCTGGGCATGCTCCCTCAAGCATGGTGCCCATCCATTCTGTCTCCTTGTCATTCTCCGCTTCACTGCTGCTCACCTTGCTCAGCTGAGGTGCTGCTCCTCCTCCCTCCTCCCCTCCCCCTCCCCCTCCCTCCCTCCCCCTCCCTCCCTCCCCCTCCCTCCTCCTCCTCAAGCCTCAAAGTCCTCCCTCCTTTCCTCCTCCCTCCCTCCCTCCCCCTCCCCTCCCTCCTCCCTCAACCTCCTCCCCCTCCTCCTCCTCCTCCCCCCTCCTCCCTCCCCTCCCTGCTCCTCCCCTTCCTTCCCCTTCCTGTTGTCCCCCTCCCCCTCCTCCCCTCTCCCATCCCTTCTCCCTCCCCTCCCCCTCCCCCTCCCCCATCCCTCTCCCCCTCCCTCCCCCTCCTCCTCCTGTCCCCCTCCAATCCTCCTGCCTCTGCAGTCAGAGCATCCTGAGAGGAGCATGGGTGTCTGCCGCTCTTCCCTCCTTAGTCCTCTCTCGCTTCAGTGAAGCGGCTCCTTCTGCCCTCTCAGGCAGCTGCATCTTGTGTCATCTTTTGAGGGCCCCATCTCAGGGCCTGGATTCCACATGCGTGAATCCATCTGGGTTAATCCTGCTTTCCAGCTGTGTTATGACGCCTCTCTTCCTCACCTCTTCTCTACTGGCCCAGCCTCTGCCTCAGTAGGCTTCTAAATATGATTTTCAGAAATCTCACAGGTTTCTTCCTTTTGCAAGACGCCGTATTTCCCCACTGTGCCTCCAGTCTGCACTGATGTGGATGTGTGTTGTGATGGTCCGATGTTGGAGTGAGAGCAGCTGTAGTGTGAGGTGCGGGCGAGGTGGGCAGTCAGTCAGCCAAGGAAAGTGGGGCAGGTTCAGACCAGGGTACCCAGTTTCCCATAACCTCCTGTTCCTGGGGACAGCAATTTGACCCGCGCAGGCAGCCCGGTGGGCCTGCGTTCCCACTTCGAAAGCAAGTGTCTTTTTCCTCTCTCTGTTCAGTGTGAGTTTTGTTTCTTGAAGATAGTTTTTCACACTTCTTCAAAAGTCACTTTTGAAGGACTGTTTTTCCAAATTGATGATTTCTGAACTGCTGTGGTGTTGCGGGGGACAGAGATGGCTCTGAGGGACCCAGGCGCTGGGTTTCTTTACTGCCTGCCCACTCTTCCCCCGCCAGGAAGTGCCTGAGATGTGCCTCAGCTTCTGCCTGGGGTGGACTTTTACCACCAGCTGGTGCCCAGGCTCCTGATGCCCCAGCATGTAGGTTACCAGCAGCTTTGCCAGATGTACTTTTTAAAAATGAGAAAAGGGTCATTAAAAGCTTGGGAGGCTTCCATGAGGCTGTTTTGACTCTGTTGTGTTAAAATGGCAACCCTGAAAATGAGCTGCAGAGTTGCATATTTATGTATAAATTTGTTTTCTAGATTTGCACAGATCACCAAGCCATAAGACTAGTCACGCCAACCATGAAAAGCCACCCAAGAAAAAAGGCCAAGTAGGCATCTTCAGTAGTAAATAAACAATGAATGTGATTCTGGATGAGTGCTTCAAGGCACTCTCATGCCTGGCGATGCTGATTCTTGCAGATACGAAAACAACGGATGAATCATAGTGTCTTGATTTTTTCTCTAAGATTTTATTGTGAACAAGTTAGCAGGCTGGGCGGGTGGCTCACGCCTGTAATCCCTAGCACTTTGGGAGGCGGAGGTGGGTGGGAGCACCAGGTTAGGAGTTTGAGACCAGCTCCAAAATGGTGAAACCCCGTCTCTACTAAAAATACAAAAATTAGCTGGGTGGTGGACGGAGACTGAGGCGGAGAATCGCTTAAACCTGGGAGGCAGAGGTTGTGGTGAGCGAGATCACGTCACTGCACTCCAGCCTGGGTCACAGAGCTTATTCTCCATACTACTATTACTACTACTATTACTACTACTACTACTACTACTAGTACTACTAGTACTACTACTACTAATAATAATAATAGAAGGAGGAGGAGGAAGAAGAAGAAAGAAAAAGAAGAAGAAGTTAGCAGTGGATGGGGCAGGGGTCAGACCTCTCCCAGAGGGCTCTGTGACCTTCCCTTCTCTTGGTGTTTTGTGCTCAGCCAGGGTGGACGCTGGCAGCGTGGTCTGGTGTGGCCTGCACCTTGCCCGGGAGTTGGGAGCAGCTCCAAGCTCACCCCCGACCCCTTTGTTCACGGCCCTTGGTTTCTGCTCTTGACAGAGCTACAAAGGCTGAGATCAAGAAGCCGCTTTCCAAAGCTCAGTTAAGCATCTGTTAGCTCCATAGAGAGTAGTCAAGAAGTTACAGTGGGGAAGGTGAACCTTCCCTCCTCCTCTGACATGCTTTAATTTTTTTTTTCCTGGAAGCCCTGTGACTTCCTAAAATTCAATGAATTATAGAACAGACCTATGGTGCTATGTGGGTCATGTTTAAGAAGGTGATAATCTACAGAATTCCACAGATTCTAGATATCATGGACCTATTCCATGGACTAATAAGAGGATGAATCTTCTTTAAGATTTGGCCTCTGAGTGATTTTGGATTTTTATGTGCCAGCCCTAATAATGCTGATTTTCTGATGATTAGTAAGCATTTATTCTTTTGACTTGACACTATTGTCTCCTTTATATGTGAATTTATTGCTCCATGAAACCATGTACTAATAAACTATTTGCTATTCAAAAAAAAAAAAGGTTAAGTAACTGCCCAAGCAGTCACACAGCCAGGCGGGCCACACTGGGGGTTAGGCGCCGCCACCCCTGCTCTGTCCCAAAGTGCAGCCACGAGCCGGGCAGCTCTCCCAGTGGAGACGTGCTGTGATGTGACCACACCTGCCTCTGAGGTGAAGAGCGATGCGTATTCTCTCAATAGCATATTATGTTGACAGTATTTTGGGTGAAATAGTTGGAATTAAGTATATCATTAAGGTCAAAGTCACTTTCTTTTATATGTGTGGTTTCTGATGGGGGTAAACCTCGCTGCTGCTTGCAGCTGTGTCTGCTGGGCGGCGCTGCTTCCCACCTGGGCAGTCCCTGCATAGCCTTGAGCCTCGGGCTTCGGCCGGCAGAAGCTGGCCCTTGTGGGTATCTGGCTCCTGCATTTAGCACCTGTTTGATTCTGGGAAAATTCTTTAAATTTTCTAAGCCTAGTTTCTCTCATGCAAAACAGGGGTCCTCCTACTTGCTGTGAGGAAGAGTGGTGCGCCGCTCCGCTTCCCTTTGGGCAGCCCCCTGAGTGGCCTGGGGGAGGAAGAGGGCATGGGCGGGGAGGGGGCCACCAACCCAGGAATATTGGCAGACAGTTCATAGAAACCCTTCCTGGTCTGCAGGTCTACACTCCCCAGCTGTGTCTCTGGCCTTGTGCAGTGGGTGCCACTTTCCGCGCCTTCCCCTCAGTGGTGAGTTAATTGCAAGCCACCCAGGTGCGTAGGGGGCCTCAAGTAGGACTGGATTTTCATTTCTCCCATGGCTGACGATTTTGGAAAGTTGTTCTCTTGCAGGGTGGTTGGCCTTTTTTTGCATCTCATCTTGGAGAAACATCTGTTTAGATTATCCTTTTTAAAAATAATATATATTACATATTATTTTATATATATATAGAGAGAGAGACAGAGTCTCACTCTTGTTGCCCAGGCTGGAGTGCAATGGTGGAGGTCTCAGCTCACCACAACCTCCGCCTCCCGGGTCTCAAGTGATTCTCCTGCTTCAGCCTCCCAAGTAGTTGGGCGGATTACAGACACACATGCCACCATGCCTGGCTAATTTTGAATTTTAGTAGAGACGGGGTTTCTCCATGTTGGTCAGGCTGGTCCTGAACTCCCCGACCTCAGCAGGATCCGGCCGCCTACTGCCTCCCTCAAAGGATTACAGGCATGAACCACCAAGCCCGCTAAAAACATTTGTTTTAAGAGATGGAGCCTGTTGTTCAGGCTGGAAAATGCAGTAGCCTGATCATAGCTCACGGCAGTCTTGACCTCTTGGGTTCAAGCAATCCTCTCGCTCAGCCCCTCAGTAGCTGGGACTACTGTAGTGGACAGGCCGCAGACAAACTCTTCCTGGACACCTGAAGGTTTTAGGGATGGAAGAGGCTTTAATCAGCTGGGAACATCGGTAGACCGTGGTTCAAGATTCTGAGCTCCAAAGTCAAGATTCCTGTGGCTTTTAAGGGCTTACAACTCTAAGGTGTGTCCACATGAAAGGGGCTTCAGATACGCTTGTGCAAGCCGGGCTGCGTGGAGTGGGGCTGCATGCACTGGTGGTCAAAACAGAACCAAACAGAGTTACACGGTGCTTCCTCATACAGTGGTGTCTGGAATCGAGAAAACTAAGTGATTAGGTCAGGGGTGGATCTTAACTACCAGGCTCTGGGGTGGCGCCAGGCTGATCATTGAATTCACTTCATTTTCTTTAACTCCTTACTTTTCTTTCCTTTGAGGCAAAAATTAGGG